ACACACACACACACACACACACACACACACCATACCCACTGGCGGCACCACCACTCCTCCCCGCAGGAGCAGTGGCCCCGGGACAAGCCAACTCCGCAGCCACAGACCCAACTCGACCAAAGCTCCAGTTAGATCAGGAGTCGGGCTTTGCTCCAAAGCACAACCCCAAACGACCAGCACGGAGAAGCTGGATCACCACCTACTCAAACTCCGCCCGCCCCAAACCCGTGCAGGGCAGAGTGGTACACACCGCCGGGGTGGGCGACTTGGAGCACACTCGAGGCGGGGCGGGGAAGGGGACCGCCCTCCCCAGTCCGCGCCGCCCTCCACCCCTGGCCCGAGCTCCGGGCAGCCGAGGGTCCGTGACGGAAACGAAAGGAGTGCCCAACCCAAGGCTCGAGGCTGGAGAGAGGGGCAGAGCCCAGAACCGCGGCGGTCCGACCCCTCCCTCCCCGAGTGCTCCCACTCGCGCCCGGTCGCAGCAGGCACCCGTCCGGGGACACGGACAGGGCGAGGGCCGCAGAACCCCGAACGCCAGCCGGGTCGCCCGCTGTGGCTCTCACTCCGCCCGGCGCCCGAGTTCGGCTCAGCGGGGTCCGGGCCAAGGCCTCCGGCCCCTCACGGGCGATCTGGGCAGACAAAGCCAGCGCCGCCCCCGGGGCAGGGGCGAGGGAACCGGAGGGACCTATCCTGGACATGGGGAGCAGTCCTAGTCCCCAGAGGGCGCTCAGGGGGATCGGCCTCAGACAATGAGGGCGGCAGGGCCCGACGCTCCAGCGGGGACTCCGCGCTCTACTCACCCGGGCGCGGCAGCGGCGGCGGCGGCGGCGGCGGCGGCGGCTACGACGACTGCAGCGGTGCGGCCGGGCTGGGCCAAGGAAGTTAGAGCAAGTTCGGCGGCGCTGGGCGGGAGGGCGCGACTCAGGCCATCCGAGCGCGGGGGCGGGGCGCGGAGGGGCGGGGCCGGGGGCGCGGCGCCCGGCGGCGGCTGAGAAAGGGGCGCCACTTCCCTGCGCCGCCTGGCGCGGCCCCGCCCTCCACGCCCCGCCCCCACCGCTCGCCCCGCCCGGCCTTCCAGCCCGCGCCTGGGCAGAACCCGCGGCGCCCGGTCCCCGGCCCGCCCCTTTGACCCGCTTTGGGCGGGGCCGCAGGCGGGGGGCGGCCCTGGTCGGCGCTCGCCCCTTGGGTGAGCGGGGCAGGCTGAGGCCGGACCCGCACCCAGCGTTTGGGGGCCGGAGCAATACGTGGACGCCACGTCGGCCTTGTCACTGACCCCACCGGAACCCAGCCTGAGAGAAGCGCGAGTTGTGGGTGTCACAACTCGGGGCTACGGGGGTGACCGGGTAGAGAGGTGAGCGCAGGGTTAGAAAAATGGCTGAATTGAAAGTGCTGGAAGGCATTCCTGCCGGGCCTCGGAGACTGGGGTTGGGGTTGGGCTTCAAGACTGGGGTAGTAAATTAACATTTATTCTTTGTAAACCGGCCGGTAAAGACTGGCTGCTTGTAGCCTTCGTGCTAAAAATACCACGCTCTCTTTCGACTACCTGCCGAGATTCGTCCCTCACCTTCATCCTGACAAGATGGCTGAGAGGATTCTTCCGGGGGGAGGGGGTACTGAAGGTACAGCCTGTGTTAGAGAGGTATTCGCACCGCTGGCTGGGCTCTGATGTTAAAAAGGCTGACCTCTGGGGTCTCAATCCACCTATCTGAAAAATGAGGCCCGGGCACGCCTCATTTTTTAAGGAGCCTTAAACTCATTCAGATGGAGGAGGGCTAAGCGATTTGTTCTGGGGACAGCAGGAAACTCGGATCTGTTAAAATTGGGTCAAGAGACTAGTTGCACCACATTCTAGTAAAAGCAACCAACAGGTTAAGTCCAATGTAAGGAGGAGATCTTGAACTGTTCAGTCCATTCCCAGTTTTTTCTTATTAAGGGGGATGCAGTCTGCTTGTGACACCCCAGGCAGCTCAGAGACCCCCTTGCAGAACCTGTCTGTCCATTCATCCTCTAGCAGATAGTGGGTGCTTGACTGAGCGCCTGGTCTGTGGCCAGGTCCTGTTTTGACGCTGAGGATTCAGCAGTAAACGAGACAGCTGAAGCCTCTTGCTACATAAGGCTGATTTTCGGTGGAGGGCACATTATTGCAGGTTGAAATAAATGCTGGGACAAAAACAAAGGACTGGGATAGAGAACAAGAGCTGTTTGTACTTTAGGTGGAGCCAGCAGGGAAAATGTCTTTGAGGAGGTGATGGTGAAGTTGAAGTCAAGAAAATGAGGAGATAGCTTTGGGAAAAGCCAAGCAGAGACATTCCAAGTCAAGAACAGTTTGTGCCGAGGCCCTGAGGAAGGTAAGCTGTGAATGTGTGAAGGAGCTGAAAACAAAACCTTGTGGCTGGAGTTCAGCAAGCCTGGGAAAAAGAACAAGGATGAAGTGGGGAAGTGGGCAGGGACCAGGCCATGCAAGACTGTGTTTAGGAATGGAGACTGTTTATTAAACCATCGAGGGTGGGCTTCCCTGGTGGCGCAGTGGTTGAGGGTCCGCCTGCCGATGCAGCGGACGCGGATTCGTGCCCCGGTCTGGGAAGATCCCACATGCCGCAGAGCGGATGGGCCCGTGAGCCATGGCCGCTGGGCCTGCGCGTCCGGAGCCTGTGCTCCGCAACGGGAGGGGCCACGGCAGTGAGAAGCCCGCGTAATGCAAAAAAAAAAAAAAAAAAAAAGGAAAAAAAACCATTGAGGGGTTTTATGCAGAAGACTGTGTTTTGATTTTCTGCTGTGTGAAAATAAATTGGGTGGGTGGCAGGCACAAATAAAAGCCAGGAGATAATTAGACTGTTATGGCAGCCCCGGCCAAAACTAATGGTGGTTTGGACCAAATTGGTGGCCACACTAAGGTGAGTAGTTGAAAGATGCTGTTTTGGACATGGACACTGATAGGATGGATATAGGGGCAGGGAATAGAGAAACCAAAGATAACTTTGAAGTTTCTGGCTGGAGTAAGTGGGTGAACAGTGTCTCATTTATTGGGTGGAGTAGCCTGGAGGAAAGGGACTACAGTTCCGGGAGACACATCAAGAATTCTGTTTTAGGGGCTTGCCTGATGGCGCAGTGGTTAAGAATCCGCCAGCCAGTGCAGGGGACAGGGTTTCAATCCCTGGTCCGGGAAGATCCCACATGCCTCGGAGCAACTAAGCCCGTGTGCCACAACTCCTGAGCCTGCACTCTAGAGCCCGTGAGCCACAACTACTGAGCCCACGTGCCACAACTACTGAAGCCCACGCGCCTAGAGCCCATGCTCCACAACGATAGAAGCCACCGCAATGAGAAGCCCACGCACAGCAATGAAGACCCAACACAGCCAAAAATTAATTAATTAATTTAAAAAAAAAGAATTCTGTTTTAGTCATGTTGAGTTGAGATGCCCGTCAGAGATCCAGTTCAATTGTCCAGTCACTAGGTGCTCAGAAGAGAGGCCTGGGCTGGGGGTGGGGCTTTGGGAGGCATCATTTTAATGATGGTAAACACCTTGGGATCTGAGGGAGTCACCTAGGTTGAGGAGGTAGATGCAGAAGAGGAGATGGTTCAAGAGCGACCCAGAGGAGTCAGACAGAGGAGCCAGAGCAGGAAAGAAGACTGAAACAGAGGCTGGGGAGGCGAAAGGAGAACCGGGAGAGTGCTATGTCCCAGAGACTGACAAAGCAGTGTTTCCAGAAAAGAGTGGTCAGCTGTGCTAGATGCTACTTCCAGCTCAGATAAGATGAAGAAAGGGAAAGATCCTTTGACTCTGGGCACATGAATGTCATTGGTGCACATGATAAGGACAGTGTTCCAGGAGTAGTGGGGTGGCAGCCAGACCATGGTAGAGCTATAGTGTTTGGACAGTTTGTCCAACAGGGAACACAGAACAGGGAGAGGTCTAGAAAGGGATGTGGAATCATAGGAGGCTTTGCCAGAGAATGCTAGATGACCCTAATAGCCATTCTCCCCCATTTCCTTTATTATAGACTTTCCAGTTCTAGCTGGCCACATGGCTTGCCTGAATAAAAGCAAGTTTCTAGGACTCCCTCATGGCTGCGTGTGGTCACATGACTCAGTTCCAGCCAACAGGAAGGAAGTGGAGGTGTCCACGTGCAACTTTGGAGAAGTAGCTTTAAAGAGAAGTGGTGTGCTTATCTCAGCCATTGGTCTCTCCTGCTCACTGGAATATGTAAATAGAGCTGCAGACAGCCTATTGAACTTTGAAGCCTAGCCATGTGTTGAGGATGTTAGTGCAACAAGTTAGAATAAATCCAGGTTCCTAATGTTTAGGGAGCCACCGTACGTGCTCTGGGCTATTACCTCTTGATTTTGTATTTGAGAAAAAGAAATTTCTGTCTTGTTTAATCCTCTGTTTTCCAGTGCTCATAGCCATATCTAATTTTTACTTCTGTTAGGATACAAAGGGTTTTGTTAAAATATGGAAGTTATTAGAGCAGGTTTGAAGAGTGATAGGAATGATGCAGGAGTGATGATTCTGAAGAAAAGGTGGAAGGAGATGTTATGTGAGCATGAATGGTGAGGACACCTCTGGTAGAGGGATGACTCCACCATTATTAAAAAGGGGGGTGTGGAGACAGAGAAGATGTTTCCAGTGAAAGTTGCAATTGGGAAGATGGTCATCCATACCTGATGATTTCTGGTTAACCCTGGATGTGAAGGAGGTCATGAGCCTAGAACAAGGAGGAGAGAGTAAGGCCAGCTTTGTGAATCATGGACCCGATGATGTTGGAGGTCCTGCCAGCCTGAGCAGCCTCAGGGAGACAGCTGCTTTCTGGAACAGTTGGCCACACTGCTGCAGGGCATGAAGAGGGTGAGGGGAGTGCCCACAAAACCGGCAAGGCCTCCACCCCTCCCCGACCAGGCCTCACTGACAGTTACTTATGACACTCGCCTGCCATTTCCAGCTGCCCTTTGAGACCCACCAAGCTTTACCTGACCCATTTTTACAATAATACGGCTTCAGAAAGCATCAGGGACACTCAAAGCAGGGCAGGCCCATTTTCTCTTCCTTTCTTAAAAAGTAAAAAGAATTGCAGTGGTGATCGTTTTGAAATGTATAGAAATATCAGATCTCTATGTTATGCACCAGGAACTGCCATAGTGTTGTAGGTCAGTTATATACTTCAAAAAGCAAACAAGCTCATAGAAAAAGAGATCAGATGTGTGGTTACCAGAGGTGGGGGGGTGGGGAGAAGGGGAATTGGATGAAGGTGGTCAAAAGGTACAAAATTCCAGTTGTGAAATAAAGGAGTACTAGGGATGTCATGTACAACATGATTAATTAACACTGCTGTATGTTACATATAAAAGTTCAGAAAGTAAATCCTAAGAGTTCTCATCATAAGGAAAAAATTTTTTTTATTTTTCTTTTATTTTGTATCTGTATGAGTTGATGGATGTTCACTAAACTTATTGTAATCATTTCATGATGTATGTAAGTCATATCATTTTGCCATATACCTTGAACTTACACAGTGCTGTATGTCAGTTACATCTCAATAAAACTGGAAGAAAAAAAGTACAACGTAACCAAAAGACAAAATAAATTAAAAGAATTGAGATATGGACAGTCCCAACTCATAAAAGGGCTGTATTGTAAACAGTGACTTAGTTTCCGGGCTAGCCCCCAGAACTGTAATTGCCAAGAATATAACTGAATTATTGCACAGACTGCAAGCCTTAGGTATAGATTATGGGAACAAAAAACATTACAAGGAGGGGTAAAAGAAAGAAGCTGAGAGTTTCTTCTCCTCCTGGACCTGGAGTTGGCTATAAATTTTAAATGGAGGAGCTTGGCCTTTATCATCCTCAGACTTCCTCCTTACCCTCCTGTCCCAGTCTGCTCCCTATCCCAGTGCTGCTTTTACTCTCCCTGGGCCCCGCTCTGTAGCGCCTCTGTGTGTGTGTGTGTGTGTGTGTGTGTGTGTGTGTGTGTGTGTGTGT